GTTGGGGGCAATATGCTGACTCTCTGTAAACCGCTTAGAGAGGCCTGAAAGGCCTATGAAGCGGTATATAAGTCTACTGCTATTACTGCTATATAGTGCAGGGGCTTAGTGCAAGCTTGGCAACTTTAAGACTTGTGGACTTCAATTCCCAGAATTCCTCAGCCAGCTTTGCTGTGAAACAGAGTCGTTAAGGTTTGCTGGCTGAGGAATTCTGGGAGTTGAAGTCCCCAAGTCTTAAAGTTGCTAAGGTTGGAGAACCCTGGCTTAGTGAGCTCTCATTAAGGGGAGCAGACAAGGTCAGCAAAAGAGGACGGGAGAGAGAGGCAAGGCACAGATTTGCCATATTCATTCATTTAAAAACTCTCTGGGATTTCCTGGATAAAAATCGGGACGATAACATCTTTGGGGTTTCAGTTCAGCCGGAGGCTGGAGGACACCCGAAAGGTCTGGCTGAACTTCCAAGTGACAAGAGGTTTGTTCCATGAATGAAACAAAACACATTTTTCAGACTTGTGCACACCTGAGTCTCTTTCTTTAGAAAAGAAGATGGCAAAAGCGTACGTTGCTTCTGAATTTTGCTCACTTTCCCAATGCACGTTGTCCAGTTGTGTTACAGGTCAGTGCTGCTGATTCTCATCATCTACCTTACATATTGGCCTTTTATATAATGCATGCTTCATGTATGGGTAGTCCTTGGCTTACGACCACAATTGAGCCTAACGTTTCTGTTGCTAAGTGAGACATCGGTGAATTTTGCCCCACTTTGTGACCTTTCTTGCCAGAGCTGTTAAGTGAATCGTTGCAGTTAAGTTAGTCACGGGGTTGTTAAGGGAATCTGGCTTCCCCGTTGCCCTTGCTTGTCAGAAGGTGGCAAAAGGGGATGACATGACCCAGGGGCACTGCAACCGTCATAAATATGAACCAGTTGCCAAGCATCTGAATTCTGCATAGGGACGCTGCAATGATTGTAAGTGTGAAAAATGATCATGATAGCAATAGCAGTTAGACTTATATACCACTTCATAGGGCTTTCAGCCCTCTCTAAGCGGTTTACAGAGTCAGCATATTGCCCCCAACAATGTTGATCTTGTGTTTCTCTTGGAGCGGTAGAGACGTGATCTGGAATTAAAGGGGATTGAGATCTCGCCCTTGTTATGGACAGATCACTTCCTGTTGAGGCTTGATTTTTGGAAGCTGCTCCCCCACTGCAGGGACATGGAGCCAATTAAATGGTTCCGCCCAGGCACCTGATGGACCCATTGGGATTTCAGATGGAGCTTGGTGAGATACTGGACTCCCTTGCCCACAATCCG